GTGTTAGCACTTCGGAGGCTGTCGTTCAATTGTGCACAGCGATCGGGTGCCGTGTGGTCCCTCGGGAGACTCCACAGTGGTGGATAAAGTGGAGAACGGGCAGTACTTGGGAAGGTTTGCAGGTGTGTGGTGATGCTACGAACGAGTACTTCCGAGAGAAGCTTTACATGTCATGTAGAGTATTTTTGGAAATCATCGAAGAGTGTGCACCTCATCTGCAACGTCAATTAACATTCTATAGGGAGCCACTTCTGCCCAAGCAGATCGTCGTGTACGCGTTGTACCTGTGGGCATCAGGTGAAACTTTTTTTTTTTTTTTTTTTTTTTTTTTTTTTTGAGAAACCCCCGAAGATTTGCTAGGGATACTGATAAGAGCAGACACCCCTAGCATTCCCGGGAGGCTCCATCTATTGGTGGGGAGCTGCACCTACTGGAAACTGGGTCCAACGTCCCTGAACATGATCTTTTTCCAACGACTGCCTGCCAGCATTGCTTACCCTGGAGCCAGGGGATTAACCGAGCAGGCAAAAAATTAGCTTGAGGGGAGTTTTAACCCAGAGACCTCTTCACCCTGCTGCTGGGCGCCTGACTAAAATGCCTACCTGGCCCCTTTTCTCCCCTCCATAGCAGTGTATCTGACATCTGGTTTCCCACCCTTCATGTTCCAAGCATCATCCATCCATCCCATACCACTGCATTTCGACTAAGCAATTCGATGGGGGGGGAAGAAATCGGGAAAGTTCTCCGGGGACTTCAGTGGTATAGCTGTGTCAATGCTAGTCCAGTTATGGAATATCAGTCCGTAGTCCCTTACTATTTCCATCCTCCCTTGGTCCTCCTCGGCTTCCTGTTGGGCCCCTTTCCATTCCACCTTCCCTATCTTACCACCGGTAATCCCCCCTAGCCAGCTTGAGGAAAATTCCTGGATTCTTTGCTTGATGTCTTTTTTTGTATTTAGGGAGCGAATCTGTGTTCTGACATCCTCCCAGTTTGCCGTTATTTCAATTTGAATTTGTTGTTGTACACTCTCTGTAAATTCGGTCCCTTCCAATCTTGCTCCTTCCATCTCATATGTGCAACGTCTTTTCCAAAGTGCCCAAAGCACCGCCCCGCGTCCCAGTTTGAACAGATTGTTGGTAAATTCGTCGGGGGGGTCAACTAGATCCCTGGGCCATGACTCGCACAGCAGGGCCTGCCAGTCCCAGGGCCACGTGGTTTTTGTCTCTAGTAGGTCCCAGATTTTATCCCACCATCTCCACAGCCAGAGTGCACCCGGGCATTGTAGGAATATGTGCTCAATTCAGGTGAAACTGACGACAACAACACATCGTCTTTCGGGATTGGCAGAGCATCTGGAGTCGTCACCGTTCGCGATGTTGCAGCCGCTCTGTTAAGTGTGTATGGGCACAAGCTATCGTGGCCCACGGGGTGCGGAAACACGTGGTGCTCCAGGCGTTCGCTGACAAAAGCTTCCTCAACTGCCATGGAGCGGTGGACTGCACACACATCTACTGTGATCTACGTGGACAAACTTGCGAACACTCCCACTGAAAACTACTTCAATCGCAAGCATCGGTTCTCCGTCATTGCGCAGGTGGTGCTCGACTTCAATTTGTGTCGGATATCCAGGGAGCTGCCACGACATCAGGGTCATCCATCTGTCAAGTCTATGGAGCGCACAGAAGAGGGGTTGTTGTTTTGCGGGACGCCTGTTGTGCTGTCGGGCGGGGTGAGGACGAATTGATACATCCTGGACGACAACCAATATCTTTCTTTGTAATGGGTGGTGCCGTATGGAAGGATCGATCAGCACCCCGACGAGGCGTTATTTGATAATAAACAAAAGGTTGTCAGCGGGACTGTGGAGATGGCGTTCATGCTTTTCCTGCGGATGCACAAGACAAACCTGGACACTCTGCCGCAGCAGTTCATGGTTGTCTACATTCTACACAACATTCTTCTCGTCACTGACATCGAGTTCAACGACAATCTTTTTTTTTTTTTTTTTTTTTTTTTTTAAGAATGCTGTGGGAAGTTGACGACAATGGATTGCGGCGCCGAGTGGACCTCGGCATTCTTTGTCCCCCACCGCTAGTGGCCATGATGACATCCACAGACGAGGCATACGATTTGTGCAATGCCTTGGCGGAGCACATGAAACACATGTGATGCGCCTCGCTGCCTGGCGAGGTTGCGTGTTCTGTACTTCGTGAATAGTCCATATCATGGTAGTACGTTGTCGTCCACGTTTGGAGCACCGAGGTTCCGCGCACCTTGACACGCATGAGACAACGGGTGGCGTCGATTGTGCGCAGTCAGGTTGTCGGTTGTAGCCAGGTTGACGACCATGGTGTGTGTGACAGCCGTCCACTGTCGGACCTCAGACCGAAGATGAGATCCACGACCCCAGCGTCGTAGCCAGCCGGGGTCCGTCCTTCGAGCAACTCTGTGTACGTCGGTGTCATCAGCCGTGTAAAGAACTGACTCCCCATCCAATCCTACGTGGAACCGTTGCCCAGAGGAACCGTTGAAGATCAATGCTCCCCGCCCTCATCGTCACTTCGAGGCAATGGATCTCGTGCGACGGCAGGTGGCTGTACAACGTCGGGTTGTACGGCCGCCTGCCACCTTGCACAGTGGTGCATCGCTGGCGTGAAGACCCCCCCGACCCTGACGAGGGTGTGCTGTTCGCCAGACGATTGTCCATCTTGTTTGCCTTCAGCGGCGCTCGCCTCCTCGGTTTCCTTCCAGGAGGGCAGTCTGCGAAACAATTGTGAAAGACAAGAACGACTAGGAGCAGCACATCAATGAGCAGCGGCATCGGCAGCCTGCGGTACATGTTAGCCATGAACGACAGTGGAGGCAAGGCAGCACACACATTTGCATCGCCGCATCTGCCACAAGTGCCGACACACGGCAATCAGGAAGACGACAAGGACAACACATTCGTACAAGGAGCGCGTCGTCGTGAGCACGCTCGCATAATCCGAAATTCCGACTGTTGGGAGCCCCCCCCCCAACAGCAACCCCCACAAGGCCGCCTTAAGATGTTGATGCGCCATGCCGCGAATCGCTGCCAACGGTCGACCCTGGAGGCCGTTGGAGGACCTCTGCGAGAAGGATGGCCCACGATGTCCGTCTTCCGGCTGCCGGACCATGAATGGACCACCTATCACCTACACATTTCCTTCGAAGCTTGACGCCGCCACCCCGCGATTCGCGGGTCCTCGGGCTGCAAAGGACCTCCAGAGGTCCCTCGGACCCGAGGATAATTTGCCTGGGAAATCCTCGGAGCCCAGGGATTTGTCCTTGGACTGTTTTCACATTTTCTTTTCAAAAATAGGATCCGACCATAGGTGGAAAGACGTCGAAATGAAGTCTGTCTTAGTCATTTCCTAAGTAGCTCTAATTTTCTGAGCCAAAGCCGGGTAATGGCCCCGATATCTCAATCTTCCAAATTCTATGTAAATTTCTATATGGGGCGCTGGGCCCGGTTCCCAGCACGTGCTGCTCCCCACGAATAGATTGGAGCCTTGTTTCCAACCAAAAAAAAAAAAAAAAAAAAAAAAAAAAAAGGAAACACGTCGAAATCCTTGGAGTTGCATCCCCGAGAACTGTCTAACGAGGCCCTAAGACTACCTCCAAGCCTCAGTTTTCCAGTTCATTATTTCCGCTGCGCCCTGCCTTCTTTCGCCTCTGGGATATTGGGATTTAGAGATGGTTGAACCACGACGGATGTCTGCAGAGTTGTTCTGTTCTGTGCCCCTGGTTAGCTGATGCCAGAACGACGCTGGGCGGAGCTGGGGTGTCGCTCTGTAACCTGCAAATGGCGGGGGAATGAGGACTTGTAGAGAGATCTGGGGTTTGCCGAGGGAGAAGGCAATCCAGGGGCGAACCAGGGGGGCCTGCTATGTGGTGAGAACGGAGCAGCTATGGGAGATATCAGTTAGGCTGGTATTGTCTCTGAATTACAATGTCCTGATACAGGGGGGCTAGGAGTTGATCTAGGAGTAGGAGGCCAGAAGGGCTAATCAACATTAGCAGTAGAATCATCAGCATTCATCATCATCATAATTGTTTGCATCATCAGAGGTGGGACGCTGAGCCCGGTTCTCAGCAAGCTGGGTTCGGTTACTCCCGGTAGACTGTGAGGGCCCCGGCCTCAATCATCTGTTTGGTAATATCAGCCTTGGGCACTGGGCCCGTTTTAATTTAAAAAAAAAAAAAAAAAAAAAAATTGGCAATTTCGCAGTTTTTTTTTTTTTTTTTTTTTTTTGCCTGGCGGCTGACACCACCAGCCATTTCGGTCTGGTACCCCAAAGTCTCAATGGTCGTGGTTCATTGACGGCTGCAAGCGAAATGGACGGGGAAACTACTGGTGGTTTAAACTACCACTACCTCCAGGCCTCAATTTTCCATTGCACGAGTTTGCCTGCATCTCAAATTCTGTCCTCTGAGGGGATGGGCATACTGGGCGCCACCAGCCTTTTCAAACAGGCAGGAAATGAGATCATTGTCCCCTGTCCAACTGAAGACAGACTGTAGGGCCAAGGAATACCTTTTTTCTTTCCTTTTCGTTTTCCTTTTAGAAAACCCATGCGGCCCCTGGGGCCCCACCAATAGATGGGTCGTCAGCAACAGCAGCAGCAACCCTACAGTCTGTGGGTACTCCACCACCTGTGGGTTTCAAAAAGAGCAGCTTGAGTTTTTCCAAAGAAGACTTTGACCAGTACCCGGTTCAAATCAAAGTCTACTGGAGCAAAGGTCCCATTTGCCTGAATAATTCTTTTCTGGCCGCTGATCCCTGTAATGAAATGAGAATTAGAGTAAGTGGGACCTCACCACTGGAGTTCTAAAGCGCACCATCATGATGTTGGGGATCCAAAACAAAACATAGAGGGATTTTAAAACGAGACATAGATTCAATCCAAGCACTGATCCATAACCAAGGGAAGGTCCAAAACAAAGACCAGGTACAAGACCAGAAGGTATTATCTTACATGGTCTGCAATAGACAGTGCTGCTTGGATCCCATTCATGTTTCCGAATGGAACTTCTGCCGTCAAGAGCTCCCAAATTATGTTGGAAATGCAGTAGACATCACCCTTCCTGTCAAAAATTCCACTGCTTATCATCTGCAAAACATGCGACAAACACACAACGAACAAACAAACAATCAAACAAACAAAAGAGATGTTCGCAGCCAGGAGGCTGCGCTTGTGTGGGTTTCTTTTTTTCTTTTCTTTCCATTTTCTTTTTTTTCTTTTTTCAACACCCTCCCGCCAGTGTTAGTGGTGCTCGTGTCATAGTGGACTTTATCGAACACCTTCCGGCATATGTGGCGAAACGCGACGACTACGTAATGCTTGCACTGGATCTCCCAGCCGGCCAGCCTTTCTCACTAGACGATATCATCCCGTACAAGGTGGGGGGCAAGTTGTATCAGATCCACACAGCCCATAAGCTGAGGCCATGGTGCTTCAAATGCCGTGCCTATGGACACCTGTGGTCAGACACTGCCTGCCCCCATCACCCGCTCAGACGGGATCACATAACAGGTCGATTGCAAAGAGATCCGCTTGTAGCCCACAAGTGGCACACAGTGGACCCCGGGCATGAGGGCTGTTTTTTTTGGGAATACAGCGAAGCAGAGGATGGACCAAACACCAGATCCGGGTGGACATGGGAAGGTCAGGGAGAACCAAAGTGGGAGACACGCCCCCCGGACACCTGGACTCCACCCCAGCGCCCAGACAACAAAACATTAATCCAAAAAAGGAAAGGGGACAAAGAAACAGAGAGGAGGGAGGGGGGAGAGACCTTGAAGAAAGAAAAAGAACAAGGAAAAAAACCGGCCAAAGGCGAAAGATGGGAGATAGTACAGAAAGGGCAACAAAGGGAGCGGCCGGAAGGGGTGACACGTCAAGAAGGTGGGGGGCGCCAGGGAGATGAAGGTAAGATTGAATGGACAGAAGAAGCAAAATGGGGAAGGAGAATGGGAAAATAGATTTGCGGCACTCCAAGAAACAGAAGGGGGATCAGAAAGTGGAGGGAGCCAGATTGATAGTCTCGCCCCGCCAAGCGATATTTTCAAAGACGCCTTCGGGCCATCCCCAATGGATGTCGAGACGGACGAAAGGAATGGCGGGGAAAGAGAAGGGTTTCAAGATACTCCTCCCCTGGAGGATGTGGTGATGCAAGAGGCAGAGGGAGCAGAGGGTGCAGAGGAACAAAACTCATTAGAAGAGAGGATGAGGCGGGTGGCTGAGTGGTTATTGCAGTGTTTGCAGCACAGATATGCAAACCTCCCGGATGAATTTTGGGATGACACATACAGAAGCCTGATCCCCCTGCTGGAAAATAGTGGGAGCCTTAGAACAGCATTAGAAAAACGGCTCCCACTGGAGGTGCAATGGGAGGAAGTTGCTCGAAAAATGTTGGGAATTGTACACGCAAGATTCTCCCCCCCGCAACCAACTAAACACAAAAGAGAGGAAAAAGAAGGAGTGTCGGAAGGGTGTGAGCTGCAGGTGGTGCCCGTGAATGATGGGAAGGATGGGAGGGATGGGAGGGATGCTACAAAAGAGCGGGAACAAGATAGAACCACAGGAGATGATGGAAAACAAGAAATGGAAAAGGAACGCCAGAAGAAGCAGGACAGCCAGCCAGAACGCTCAGAAAAGGAGGACGACCCGATACTAGAAGGAGCACAACCCCCTCCGAAACCTAGAATTACAACTCTTAAAAATCCTTAAGCTGGTTTACGGAAACGGCCCTCCTAGAATTACAACTCTTAAAAATCAAAGTGAGCTAAACATGGACAGAACAAGATGTTAGGACCGCCCTGGCAAAAATCCTTAAGCAGGATATTTGCATCCGACAGGGGCCAAGAAAAATGATTGGGATTTGGTTGAATGGGAGCGTCTCAAAAAAAAAAAAAAAGGGACTAAAGAAATAAAGAGAAAATGACCTAGCTTTCTTGGCAAAAAAATGTTGTGAATACTCCAAAGGAGTAGCCGCTTAGAGAAATAGAGAAGAGATAGATCTTCAAAATCATTTAAAAGATCTTAATCAACAGCAAGAGCAAATCCAAGGAGCTATTAATGAGGATCTGTCCGCCACCATACGACAAATCGAGAATCGCCTTCTCGAACGAATGGAACATAGATGGAACGACGCAAGCATACGAGGAAAGTTTAGAAAACAAAAAACAGAAGGAACCATGGACGCAAGATTTTTTGCAATGGCTAAACTTCGGGTTGGGAGGACGACACATTGACGCCCTCGCAGACCCGACACAACCACAAGAGCAACCAGCCACCACCACACCTCAATGTATCTACATAGTCAGAAAATTCTACATAAACTTTTTTCATCACAATGTAAACACATCTATGAAGACAAAAGAATACAAGAAATTAATGAATTTCTGACCCCCCTGCAAAAACAAATCACAACACAACAAAGGGCAACGCTGGAGAGTTCACCCGCAAAAGAGGAGATAGGGACGACACTCATGCAGATGGAAGAAGAAAAAAACCCCTGAATAGACGGGTTACCCAAGGAATTCAGGGAAACAATGTGGCCCTCCCTCTCACAGGACTTGATGGAATACTACCAGACGATTTGGACAAATGGACAAATGGGAAAATTCGTCGGCCAAGGGATACTGACCCTGCTTCATAAGAAAGGAGATAAAATGAATATTAGAAACTATCGGCCAATTACACTCCTGACCGTGGTATACAAAATGCTGGCAAAGGCATTGGCGAATCGCATGACCCCGATAATGTCGGACATCATTCACCCAGCGCAAACTGGCTTCATTAAAGGCAGAAAGATCTAGGACAACATTCTCCTCATTCATGAGGTCATTAAGCTATCTCGGTAATCCAGACACAACGCTGCTATCATTTTTGTCGACTTTGAAAAAACATACGATTATGTAGACTAGGTTTTCCGTGATCAATGCTTAGAGAAGCTTAATTTTGGCCCGTCTTTTAGACGCTGGGTGAAGATCCTTCATCAAAATGCTACGACGCGGGTGCAGGTGAATGGTAGACTGGCCCCACTTATCCGTCTAGAGCGATCAGTTCACCAGGGCGACCCGATCGCCCCCTTTCTAGTCGTAATAATCATGGAAGCATTGACGGCGAACCTGCGTTCTCACAGGCAAATTAAGAAAATAAGGGTAACCTCTATCCCCGAGGAGGCAATCCCTATCTGTTCACTCTTTGCTGATGATCTTACCCTCATGGTGGAAGCTTCGGTCGAAAACATGGAGGAAATTCGTCGATTGATGGATCGATTTTGTAATCTCTCAAACATGAGGGTTAACTGGGGAAATAAAACGGAAGGCTGGTAGATACACTACCAAGGGGTCCGACCGCCAGAATCTCTGCGGATTAGATGGCTGCCGAAAGAAGCCCCGATCAGGGTGTTGGGAGTTAAACTATCGGCAGAAGGGCAACCGCCCTCCAACGATGAATGGCTGTTGCAGCCGGTTCTTGGAAAGCTGAGCAGTTGGAAGGATAGCAAAACTTCGCTGATAGGACGGGCCTTGGTTATCAATAATGTAGCACTAGCCTCATTATGGTATAAAACAATACTTTGGTCACTCAATAAATCAGCCACAACCACCTTCCAGCGACAGGTGGCGGCATTCCTGTGGAGGGGGAACCACGAATGTCCTAATGTTATTAGCAGAGTGGTCTGGCACACGGTAATCCAACCGAAAAACAAAGGAGGGTTGGGGATCATAGACCCATCTAGCCAGATGATGGCCCTAGCCTTGCAGTGGATTAAACACTTACTCCTCAACCCACAGACCCCTTGGATAACACTTGCACTACAACAGATGTCCAGGTTAGCCCCGGTGGCCCCTCTGGACACAGACCCGACGTCTTGGCTAGAAGATCGATATTGACCTGTTCCTAGGTCATCACCCGACAAAGACGATGAACCCAATACGGACAGGCAAGCAGCTAGAAGAGACCTAAAAAATGATGCTTTCTGGACCTCCCTTATAAAAACATGGAGGAAACTCCCCCCTACAGATAAAGTGTCACCACTGCGCTGGGAGGAAGTATATACACAACCCCTCTTCGCCAACCGGTGGATAACAGACTCTAACAGTAGGGTGCTACGGTGCACGGATTCCCCCTGGAAGGGATGGACCAAAAACGGTGTCCTAAGAGTAGGACATATCTGGGATCAGAGAAGGGAGACTGGGTATTCGAACCTAAGTTAAGAGAAAAATTGAGATACTGTCACAAGGTAGGGGAAACATTGGAGACAATCGTCTTTGCTGTCCCCTTAGACTGGGTGCGCATTCTCAAGAAGGGACCGACGCTGGAAGAAAGCGACTAGGTGCGCATAAAAGACCAAGAGGGGGTAGTGGGGAATGTAGTGGGCACACGGCCATCACGAGAAGGAGGGGGAGAAATATTTGTCAACCTTTTCCATAGGGCCTCAGATGACCGGCTTATGAGAATGGAAGGAGACAAGGTACAATGGCATAAAAGATCGGAATTATACAGAATCCGGGTCTTAAGAGAAAGGGATGGATGGTTGGCATACAAACCAACCACCCCGATCTCACACCTTGGTTTTGATCCGGCAAACTGGACCTGGACACTAACCATAGGTAAAGGAAAACAAGGGCAGCGACAGCTACACACACTATCAGTCAAATCAGCTTATAGACTGTTGCGCCCCAAAAGAACCTTAAAAGGCATAGTAGAGGACAGGTGGATGAGACACCTAAATGTGGGAAAAGAGGCCCTTCGCTCAATAAGATGGTTTAGACTAAGTAGGGCCTCCCCGACGAAAGTGGCGTCACTACAATGGCAAATTGAACACCGTTGCCTACCCACAAATGATTGGCTGATCGATAGAACAACCCTGTAACAACGAGGGCTAGCCCTGCCGTGGTGCAAACTTTGCTCATCGACCTTTCCACAAAGATGCTGACCAGAAACAATCGAGCATATCTTCCTGCAGTTCCCGGGGTCAATATGGCTATGGAGATAGTGGGACAGGGTTTGGAGACAGATGGGAACCACAATTATTTGGCCATGGGATTGGAAGGCAATACATTGCGAAACATGGCACCCGGAACAGGCCTTATCCTTCG